AAAAGTAAAACGTAACGTAACTACTATATACTACTTACTTCTCTCTCTCTCTCTCTCTCTCTCTCTCTCTCTCTCTCTCTCTCTCTCTCTCTCTCTCTCTCTCTCTCTCTCTCTTTTCTTTTCTTTTTCTTTCTCAAATAAGCATACGTGCCGCATTATTTTACCTCCTCGTTGGCCCAGTACGCGCGATCGTCCACCTTTCTCCGTTTCACGGTCAGATTACTTCATACCTAAAAATGTTCATTATTATTAATTATCCAAGCTCGAATATCGCGTTGAGTTTTTACGAGTCTCGAGTTTATTCAATCAGATTCGATCAGATCTGTTTCCTTCCTTCCTTTCTTTTATTTATTCGTCGATTCGATCCTTGCTCTCGCGCAGGGGAGAGAGTTCCTCCAAGGAATGAACAGTTAAAATTGGCGCTCTCGCTAGCCCAGATCGTAGTGGCAAAGTTGCGGAGTCATTCGGAGAGAAAATAGACAGGTTGTGCCGAGTCACTGTTCCAACAGGGAAGCATCTATTTCTGCGCTTCTAAACTCTGCGCCACGAAACGAATTGCATCGTTATTCTCTCACAGTTAAATTCAAGAAAAAAGGAAAAAAACAAATTCCACGAAAAAGAGAGATAAAAAAGAAGCGCAAAAGGAAGAAAAAAAATTGCAAGAGAAGAGAAGAGAGGAAAAGAAGTCGTCGTCGTCGTCGTCGTCGTCGTCATCCTCCTGCGAAGATAAATCCTGTTATGTCACTTGGCACACTTTACAGGGTTGTATCGTGGCGGGTTATCTTAGCGACAATAATCATATTACACCTGCAGCACTACCGATAGTGATTGATGCTCGTCCCTGGGCTCTCTCGAAACCACCTGAGCGTTAACGGCTCGCGGATGACACAGCTGAATGCGGCTCCAAGGTCGTGTTCTCCTTCGTGCCCCCCTCCTCCTCCTTAGCTCTTAGCGGTACAGCTCCTTTTATTGCGTGTCGATGTACCTTCCGTTTCCAGGTTACTTGGTCATCGCCTGAAAATCATTCCAACGGAGCTTCGTCACTTCTCCCTTTTTCCTTCTTTTTTTATTATCGTTGTTGTAAGAGGGAAGCAAGAATATTAGAGTGTCTATAACAGGAGGAAGAGTGGCTGTTGTGTTAAATGCTTAAAGTCTGATTATCATGGTGCAAATAGGATTTTTACCTGGAAATCCTGGATTTGGAGAAGGATTCAGAAGAAGGTTGTCGTGTCCAAATATTTTGTCTCCCTGTTATGGAAAATCGAAATCGATACCGGAACAACCACTCGGATGTTTAAACCGTTTAATCCTGTTCAGAGCCTGGCCAGAGTCGGGATTAAGCGGAATTAAGGCGGTAAGGAGAATCGATCCCTTAGAGGAAGCCATCGTCTCCTCCGTGGGGACCAATAACCACGGCTCTCCTCCTTCGTTCCGCGACTATCTCTCCGTCGAATTGCTGGTGTCGGAGGGGAAATTGGTGTTTCGAATTTTCTCGAAAAGGGGCGGGACAAATTTTGATCCATTCGGCCGGAGGGCGTATTCGCAGCGAGGCGAAGGCGCCGGATAGGCGGAGAGCTCCGCAGCAGTGTCTCCCTCTATATCGATTCACCCCCTGGCACGCGCCATCGCTGCCTATTATCGCCTCCTATACATCCTCCGCTTAATTGCCGAGAAAAAACTTTAGAAACTGCGCAATGCGCGTGCGAATTCTGGAAAAGTTCGAATTTTCCAATGTATTCGGTGGATAGTTTGGAGAATTTCAACGATTAAGTCGATTACCTCTGCGAACCAAGGGAAATATATTTCTCTCCTCGATCTCCTGAAAATAAAGTTGCCTCCATTATTCCCTCTCCTTTCCTGCTCTTTGCCATTCGATTGACTTACCTTTCCAACGAACAGCGTTGCAAGATGTTTGTATTCGCTGAGTGGACGAGATGCAAAGAATACGTATAAGCAGTCGACCAGACCTCTCCGCCTGAAAAATAAAGCGATAAAGTGAAATTTTTTTAAAAACCGTGTTTCCTTTCCATTTTACGTTCGCGAAGAAAATATCTGTATCCTTCTTCGTCAACAACAATCAACACACTACAAACTGCGAGGAAAGCGAATCGAAACGAGCCGTGTCGAGCCGGAATCGAAGGCTTAGATAACCAGATGACTCGCGAAGAGGAACACCGGCTGGCTGGACGGAGAGACGCGATGGCTGAACCGACGAATAAACCAATAAACGGCGCAACCATCTGCTCGCCAGCCGGCACATCTCCATCTCTTTCTCTCTCTCTCCACGTCCTTCCTTCTCCCCTCGTTCGCCGAGTAACTCGCCAAACTCTCAACCGTCTCCCTCCGTCTTCCGCTCCCCTCGAGCGGGCCACGGGCATCGTCGTCACAGGCGGCAGCACCATTTTATGCGATCCGCTGAAATGAAATCCACACGTTAGACGGAGGGAGATAGAGATAGAGATAGAGAGTCTAGCTAAGGGAACTCCCTGGCAGCTTTTATTCCACGACAATGAACACCATCCAGTTTCCACCACTCTATCCACCTCGTCCCTTCCTTCCTTCCTTCCTTCCTTTCTTCCTTCGTTGCTCGACGTTTTTGGAATTTTCCTTAAATAAGGGGAGGGGGATGTTATGGACCCTCGAGAGGGGAAACGACGAGTTTCCCTCGTTGATTGCTTTGCTTGTAGTCTCTCTCTCTCTCTCTCTCTCTCCCTTTCTTTTTCTCTCCTCTTTGGAGGAGGGGGGAGAGTTGCCAAGGTTGAGTTATGGGAACGAAGGGAGGGGAGAGGGATAGATGGCAGCGCAGGACGATTATGGGATTGTTACCCCGCTGGATGTACGTGGAATAGAGACGAGATGGGGAAACGGGGGGTTTTTTCTTCTTTTTCGTACGAGGAATTATCGATTGGATGAAATTTGAACGAAGCGTTATCACGATC